CCGCCACCGCCACCGCCTCCACAGACATGCACACACCGTTGCCACCCACCTAAGCGCCCAAGTAAGGCTTGTCAGACAAAATGCTTTTAGAAAAATCCACGATCCTGGCCCGGGTCTAGCACAAGGTTAGATAGTTGAAATACCCAATATGTTTATTTTTCAGAAAGCCACATACTGTTGCTATTTCTTCGGCTCCAAACATCTGATGACTAATCAAAGCCTTAACATCTCACATCTCACTCGCATAAAAAAAAAGAGAAAACCTTCCTGTGTACATAGTATAAATATATAAATATGTAGCAGAAAAAGAATTACTAATTTATGGTGTCACGTTTGTGTATTTCTCAGTGACAGCAAGCATGAAGGATTTATTTTCTCCTATTAGAGTTTCTCCTCTTTACTGTTATTTTGCAGTACTTTATAATTTATGTTTTCTGAGTGCTTTATTCTTGACTGCTGCGCTGTGATTGCTGCCAAAACTGGCAAATGTGCTTCTTCTATACAAATGAACTGTACACACAACATTCATGAAGAGTCTTACCCCAAAATGTGCCTTTTTAATTATTGACTGCTCTGTGTAATAGTTGTTTTTTTCCTTTTTGTATTTTTTAATTTGAAATTTAATTTCTTGGTCTTTTTTTGGAAAAAGGAAACTGAATTAGAATTGTTGTCACCATTTTGTCGTGTCTTTCTATATTTTTTTCGTATTTGGTTGCTATTAAAGATTTCTTGATTTTTGAAATGTTCCAGTGTTGCGCGTGTGCTATCTGTTCCTCCTCTCCTTCCCTCTGTCTCTTTAACACTTGAGGTTGGCTGGGGTGACTGAGGGGAAAGATTGAATAGAAGTGCCAGTGATTGATTCTCACTGATTAGATTTATAGATTAATTGATCAGGATATGAAGTGGCCTCTCTGTCTCTTGTCACCCTTCCTTCACACTCCAGACACACCAACCCGTTTGGTTGGGGGGGGGGAACTTATGGGAAAACTGAGAACGAAGGAATAGGGAAGCCATTTTGTGGATTGTACAATTGTCCCCTGTACTCCAAGGCTCCACCTCCTCCCAGTCTCTCTGATTTGTATATGTGTCTTGGTTGGCTGATGTAAACTTGCTGCCTTGGTAACAGGTATGTAGGAGACTGCAGTAGTTGTATAAAGGGCATATTTTTCTATCAGGGTTTTCACCTAAGCATGCAAATAATGAAGAGTGATGATACAGAGCACGCTCTTATTTCAAGATGCATATGTATAAAAAATCATTATTTTCACCTGGAGCCGCCAACACCCTCTCACGGCCAAATACTGTACACACACAGAGAAAAGGATAGAGTTGAGGAATGTGTTGCTGTAGCTTCAGTGGTTTTCCTGGAGGGAGGCAGTTTGTGTTTTCAGTTGGGGAATGTGCAGGCCAAGCTGAAACTCAGTGAATGGAGCTTCTTTCAAAGGCTGCATTGTTTGAACTCTGACTAAACCAAACTGGTTTTGGTCCAAATTTTAACAGAAAAGGCATGTAGAGGGGTTGTTCTGTGCGTGTTAACAGGTCTATTGTGTGTGAGTGAATGTGTGTGTTCATGCGTGTATGTGCACCTGCCTTATTTGGTTTACATACAAGTACCCCCTCTGTGTCCCCACCAAACGATACAATCAAGCTCTGCAGTTAACATCCCCGCGATGGTGACAGTTGGTTTATGGCGGTTATGGCAGCGTGTCCTCGATGTTTGCCTGGTGCTTTGATGCCGTCATGTATCTGTGTGTCATCCTGGCTCCTTGTCACAGTTCATTTTTGTTGCAGGCTTCTTCTGTCAATGCACAGCTATTTACTGTGAGTCCAGCCCACCATCTGGCCTCTCTAATTGCTTTGGATTTGAGGCTGGCGAGATAGAGAGCACAACACGGAGGATCAACAGCACACACCACCCTCCCACAGACACACACACTCACAGATACACAGACAGTCCTTTGGTTTTTCTAGCTGAATGTAAAAGACTCGAGCACAGCAGAAAGGCTTTTAAGCTGCAGATTATAATAACAACTCATGCAACACTTGTAATTTTGTCAATGTGTGTCACAGAAAACAGAACACACCTTCATCTGAAAGCGGTGACCCCGTAACGCAGAACCTGGCCTATTTGAGCTCCGAGCAAATAACCTGGATCTGAAGCCAAAGTGACAGCAGCTACGCCAAGCACTACCACTGTGTTCAACATTAGCTTACAGTGATGAGACATGGTGCCGTGCCCCTGGGCAATCCGGCTAGCTGGTTGTGGCCCTGTTTATACCAAGTTGTGTGTGTGTGTGTGTGTGTGTGTTTGCGTAGGCGTGTATTAGATAGAGAGTGAGCATGTGAGTGTGTTCTTTGGTCATGCAGCGTGCTAAAGAAGTATGTTCATGTGTTTAGGCACCCGTTGAGTGCTTTGCTGGGTTGCAGACCGATCAGATTTCTGGAG